GTAAGTCCTATAAGTGTAGATAAATATTGGGGTTCAAACCTTAGTACTAAAGAAAAAGTAAAATATGTCATCAGTAATTTTTGTATTGATTACATGTAGAAATAACATTTTGGATATATTGAGTTATAATAAAATATGTTATTAAAATTAAGTAAAATGAGGATAATAATAGCATTTCTTAAGGTTATTTTGAGAATAAATGAGCTAATATTGATAAATCACATCAATATCTGACAGTCATTTTTATTATTTTTTTGCTAAAAAATGGTCTTCTATTTATAGCCATTGCATTTTAATTTTTAAAAATCTTTATTGTTGAAAGTATTACATATTGGCACATAGTCATTTTAAAAAAACTATCTCCAATTCCAGGGACAGAGCAAACAGGGACGTGTCACCCCTGTTACATTCCTGCCAAGACAGAACACATTGGGGTGAACTCATCCCAGAACAAAACAGGCTGCTGTAAGCATGGGGACAGAGATGTCTGTCAAGCTTGCAGTTAGAAAATGCTTTTTTCTTCCTCAGTATAGATGTAAACAATGCCATCTCAGAATTAATGGTTACCTTGAGGTGTGTGTGTGTGTGTGTGTGTGTGTTTAATCCAACAGTAGTTACCTACTGGATAAGCCAAAAAGATGAGGAAACAACTTGCATCTCACACTGGTGGGGAGATTTTTAAAAAGATCCAAGTTGAGCCCTAGTCGGTTTGGCTCAGTGGATAGAGTGTCTGCCCGTGGACTGAGGGGTCCCGGGTTCGATTCTGGTCAGGGGCATAGGCCCAGGTTGCAGGCTTGATACCTGGTGGGGGTATGCAGGAGGCAGTTGATCAGTGATTCTCATCATTGATGTTTCTTTTTCTCTCTCCCTCTCCCTTCCTCTCTGAGATAAATAAAAATATATTAAAAAAAAAATCCAAGTTGAATTGCCAAACCACACAATAGGTTCTTGAGCTGCCAATTGTTTGCCAAGCCCACCCTGGCCTGTTCTGCTAAAACCTTCCTGGTGTCAGATAAAGCTGAATAACTTGGATTTGAGGGAATGATGTCTGCAAAATAAACCTAAGACAAGACTGACCCTCAGGGCATTGCCAGGTTGATATGTCAGCAGTGGACATGAGATAATCTTCCTGAAAAGTCTTGTGTGTCTTCCACAACTCTGTGCTTAAGTGATTGGCACAAAAATAACCAATACGGGTGTATATCTTCCCATGGTATTTTCTATGCACACGTTGGTACTAGAATGCTTTTTGTACAAAGATATTTTAACTTTCCATGGTGTTTTCCTAATTAGTAACACTCATTAATGTATGTAAATGAAATAAGAGACTTACCAAGTCTCTCCAGTTTGAGAAGACACAGGCAGCATAACACTGGTCTCTTTCCAATTAGGGAAGAAAAGGACTTTCTATGTAGAACATTCTTACTTAGAGTCATTGTATGCATTCCTCCTTCCTTAACAGTGCCTAATCTACATCTAATTCCTCACAACTACATATCATCTGCCTAGAACTTTTGGAATATTCTTTCATGAAATTATACTTTCTACTAGTGACTTTTTATTTTCAATCTCCCACTCCCTTCCTTTGGCAACCATCAGCTTGTTCTCTATATCTATGGGTCTGTTTCTGTTTTGTTTATCATTAATTTTGTGGGGTTTTTTTTAGATTGCACATATAAATGAGAACATATCTACACTAATAAAAGACAAAGGTGCTAATTGACCGTACCTTCACTATACCCAAGCCACACGTGCCAGCCAATCAGAGTGACTATATGCAAATTAACCCAACCAAGATGGAGGACGGCAGCCACAGAGCTGGAGCAAGCAGGATGCTTGGTTGCCTGGCGATTGGAGGAAGCCAAGCTTTCTGCCTGCCCTGGCCAGCTGTGGCCTCTGCAAAAGGAAACAAAGTTTCAGTTATAGAAGCTAAATAAATCCCAGATACATGCTTCCAGCCAGCCTCCACTGGGAGCTTGGGTGGCTGGGGGCTGTGGCCAGCCTGCAAACAGCCAACAGCCCCTCACCCAGGCAGGCCACATCCTCATGGGGTGAGGGTCCTTGCTGCAGGGCTTGGCCAGTCTGAAAACAGCCCTCAGCCCCTCACCCAGGCTGGCCAGGCACCCCAGCGGGACCCCCACCCTGATCTGGGACACCCTTCATGGCAAACCAGCCGGCCCCCACCCATGCACCAGGCCTCTATCCTATATAATAAAAGGGTACTATGCAAATTGACCCTAACAGCAGAGTGACTGGGAATTACTGGTCACTATGACACACACTGACCACCAGGGGGCAGATGCTCAATTCAGGAGCTGCCCCCTGGTGGTCAGTGTGCTCCCACAGGGGGAGCTCTGCTCAGCCACAAGCCAGGCTGATGGCTGCCAGTACAGTGGTGGTGCTGGGAGCCTCTCCTGCCTCCTCAGCAGTACTAAGGATGTCCGACTGCAGCTAGGCCTGCTCCCCGCTGGCAAGTGGACATCCCCCGAGGGTTCCTGGGCTACCAGAGGGATGTCTGACTGCCAGCTTAGGCCTAATCCCCCGGGGTGCGGGCCTAAGCCAGCAGGCGGTCATTCCCTGAGGGGTCCCAGACTGCGAGAGGGTACAGGCCAGGCTGAGGGACCCTCCCGAGTGCACAAATTTTTGTGTACTGGGCCTCTAGTGTTATTTATATTTCTCCATCTGACTTTTTTTCACTTAGATGAACCTTGAGCAGGGTGGAGGGGAGGGCCATACAAAAAATTATCAACTTAAAGATTAGCCTGCTCTATTTGGCCAAACTTTTAATAACTCACCCCTAAGGTTTGGGCAGGGCCAGACATTTCCCATCTCTGACCTAGAAGGTATTATGCTATGTTGTCACAAATGACAATTTTCATTCTTTTTCATGTCTGAATAATATTTCATTGTTTTTATATACCACATCTTTATCCATTTGCCTATCCATGGACACTTAGGTTGCTTCCATATCTTGGCTATTACTAGTAATTCTGCAGTGAACATGGAATGCATATATATATATATATTTTTTTAAATATATTTTATTGATTTTTTACAGAGAGGAAGGGAGAGAGATAGAGAGTTAGAACCATCGATGAGAGAGAAACATCGATCAGCTGCCTCCTGCACATCCCCCACTGGGGATATGCCCGCAACCCAGGTACATGCCCTTCACCGGAATCGAACCTGGGACCCCTCAGTCCGCAGGCCGACGCTCTATCCACTGAGCCAAACCGGTTTCGGCGGAATGCATATATATTTTTGAGTTAGTGGTTTTGTTTTCTTCAGATAAATACCCAAAAGTGTGATTACTGGGTAATCACATATCTATTATTAATTTTTTGAGCAATCTTCATACTGTTTTCCATAGTGGATGAACTAATTTACAATCTCACCAATATTTACGAGAGTTCCCATTTCTCCACATTCTCACCAGCCTTGTTGTTTGTTGATTTATTCATTCTGACTGGTATGAGGTAATACCTCATTGCAGTTTTGATTTGCATTTTTCTGATAATCAGTGATGTTGAGCATCTTTTCATATATCTGTTAGCTATCTGTATGTCCTCTTGGGAGAAAAGTCTATTCAGGTCCTCTGCCCATTTTGTAATTGGAGTGCTTGTTTTTGATATTAAGTTGTATGAGATCTTTATATATTTTGCATATTAACTTTTATCAGATGTATCATTTGAAAATATCTTCTCTCAATCAGTCGGTTGTCTTTTTGTTTTGTTGATGGTTTTCTTTGCTGTGCAAAATCTTTTTAGTTTGAGGTAGTCCCATTTGTTTGTTTTTTTTTTCTTCTGTTTCTCTTGTTCAAGGATATATACCCAAGAAGACATTGCTAAGAGCAATGTCAATTTCCTGCCTCTGTTTTCTTCTATGAGTTTTATGGTTTCTGGTTTGACATTTAAGTTTTTAATCCCTTTTGAGTTTATTTTTGTATATGGTATAAGAAAGTGGTCCAGTTTTATTTTTTTTTTTGCATGTACCTGTCTAGTTATGCCAATACCACTCATTGAAGAACTGACTTTGCCCAGCTGCATATATTTGCCTCCTTTGTCATAGATTAATTGAACATATAAGCAAGGATTTATCTCTGGGCTCTATTCTATTGCATTGATCTAACTACCTTTAAAAGTGAGTATGATGCCCTAACCGGTTTGGCTCAGTGAATGGAGCATCGGCCTGCAGACTGAAGGGTCCCAGGTTCGATTCCAGTCAAGGGCATGTACCTTGGTTGCGGGCACATCCCCAGTGGTGGGGGGGGGGGTTGGTGCAGGAGGCAGCTGATCGATGTTTCTCTCTCATCGATGTTTCTAACTCTCTATCCCTCTCCCTTCCTCTCTGTAAAAAATCATAAAATATGTTTAAAAAATAAAAAAAAGTGAACATGACATTTTTCTCCTGAAAAATTAAAATGAACAACCAAATAAGTTAATTTATACATGGTTTCCACTGTCAAGCTTACTATCAGTACGCATGAGGAGTTAATGGATCATTCCTGCATAGAAAACCTTTTCCTAAAGAAGTATTCTGGAATTAATAAATTTAGTAGAATTGAAAGCGGTCTATGAGATTTTTATAAATCTGGAGAATGAACATTTCTTAAGGGAGTTCCTAGAAATCTTTATTTTTTTTTTTTAAGAAAGAAAATTCTGGGCTAAACAAAATTAGGGTGCTTCCCTCAGAACCTTTCATGTGTCTTACGAATATCTAAAGGTGGTGCAGTAAAAGTCCGATGTTACACTCATCCTTTCTTGGAACCACTTTTTCAGACTAGCCTCTGAAGGCACCAGCGCACATCAGAACAGACTTTGGGCAGTGATGGTTGGGGTAATTTCCAGAGTAAAGGGTTAGTGCTCCATCTCATCTGTTTAACTCCTCGAAAATTTCTCCTCTTTCAAACAGCTCTCAACGACTATGTATTTAAGATAACTGTGCCAGTTTCTAAGCATGACTTTATTAGAGTGAGATGGGATAAAAAAATAAGATTTTTGTAATGAGATAACATTTTATTTTAATTTTCACCATTTATATACAAACACAAAACACACCACAAAACAGTAAAATTTCATAGTTAATATGTATAGGTGCATAGTTTCATGCTCACATATTTTTAAGTATTACATATATTAGCAAGTTTCACAATACATCATTATTCTTAGAATCATTAAAAGACACCTAAAAATCTTAAAATATATGATAGTAAGTCACAACTCCTCAACAAGAGCAACAACAACAAAAATAGTGAAGATTTAGGAATAAGTGGTAGTCACTTAGGTGTTTTTAATTTGTTTTAACATTTTTTATTTGAAGCCACAATATCCACACAGCACACAGGGACCTGCTACCATATATTCACCGAAGCACCGAAATGCTGAGTGGGGGGCAGGTACAGATACTTCAATCACTGCTGATGGAAGAATCCAAAATACGCTGTAAAAACTTTGGGAAAATGACTGGGCATGTTGGAACTGAGCACTTGTACAGGGTGGAACATCTGTCAGCAGATCTTGAGAAACTGGGAGCAAAGAGATTTCTTAGGCTTCAGGCTCGTAGTCTTGATAACCTCCCTAATATTAGGAGAATCAGAAAAACAACATGCAGAGTTAGTATAAGTGATCAGTAATCAAGGATTTAGGGTGAATAAGATAGGATATGGCTTGCCACTTTGAATAAAGGTCATACTCGTAACAGTTCTGGAACTATTCTGCTACACACAATATTGTTGGTAGTTTTGTCTTCATGTCAAATATAAAAGTGAATCATGCTGGTGGTCAGGGTAGCTGAGCTCTACTTGTACATATGCCACTGAATGATCATATAATCTCATCCTGCAGGACAAATTGGTTGCTCTATCTGGCTCTCAGTTTCCCAAACTGTAAAAATCAAATCAAGTGGCCTATAATGCTTTTTTCAGTGCTAAGATGCTCTAATTCTTAGAAGGAGACAAAGATGTTTAAAAGCAAGTTATGTTTTCTTTCCTTTTACTCTCCCATTTGAAATTTCATCTTCATTTATGGCTTCAATTATTATTTTTTAATATTTTATTGATTTTTTACAGAGAGAGAGGGAGAGGGAGAGGGACAGAGAGTTAGAAACATCGATGAAAGAGATACATCGATTCAGCTGCCTCCTGCACACTCCCCACCGGGGATGTGCCCACAACCAAGGTACATGTCCTTGACCAGAATCGAACCTGGGATCCTTCAGTCTGCACAGACTGACGCTCTATCCACTGAGCCAAACCGGTCAGGGCTTTGGCTTCAATTATTACTCCTGTTCCCCCAACCCAGCCCAGCCATACAGTATATGGATACATCCACAATAAAAATATTAATGGCCTTAACTAAAGTGATCAGATTAGTCCTTCTAAAGAACAATTTGATATCAGGATTCTGCTCAAAATCAAACAAACATACCTTTAATATCTCAAGCTGCTTTCTGAATAAAGCACAAATGTAAATCAAAAGGTTGTTCTAGTACTCTACAATTTGTCTTTGACCCATTGCTGAAGCTGTTATCTGTCACTATTCTCTCTGCTCCCTAAGCTTGACTCATGTTTAATTACTCACTGTTCCTCTGACACATCTTCATGCATTCTCAGATATGCATGCCTTCACTTCTGATATCCCCTTGTGTTAGAATGTCCTTTCTTCATTTTGGCCTATCATATCTCCCACCCAGATCAACATCATCGCCTCTATAAAACCTCTCCCCATTGATCTAAACAGACCCATTAAACTATTAGACATTTTGCTCCTGTGATACCTGGTGCATAGAAGACAGTCAATAATGTTTGTTAAAATAATCATGACAAGTAAATGAAGGAATGAATTTGTATTTGTTTTTAGCAAACCTAAAACCAGAGTGCATACTTCTGGATCCTGGTGCTTTCAATTACTCTTATTTGTATTTTCTGTAGTGTTCAGCATTGTGCCATGCATAAAAGTCCCCACAATATTGGTGAAATCTAATTAGGGAAAGAAGCAATTGAATCTCAATTTCTATAAATGGGATTACTATCAATATGCCTTCTAATGATGCCGTGAAGAATAATGTATAATCTAACTACAATTCCCTTGAACTCAATGTTTAGTAAAACAATAACACATTTTCTTTTTCCATGACACCTGGTTTCGGAATCAGTGTAACACTGTCCTCATAGAATTAGTTGGAACATAAAATGGAAGAGGATTTAATTAGTATTGATTGTAATTAATTGGTGCTGCTGTAATTATTCTTTAAATGTTCAGCAGAATTCACCAGTGAAGGCATCTGGTCCCGGGATTTTCTTTGTGGGCAGGTTTTTAACAATAATTCAGCCTCTTTACCTTGTTATACATCTTTTCAGATTTTCTGTGTTCTTTTGAGCAGTTTCATTCATCTACAAGTATTTTTAAAATTTCCCTTGTGATGCACTTTCTATGAAAGAAACTTTTATTTTCAAATTAAAATAAAATTACTAAGTTATGCTATTTAATATGCTATACTAAATTATACCAGTTGTTGCAAATCATTCATCATCTTTCTACTGTATTACTTTTTGGTAAACTCTTTTACTAAGCCAACACCCCACTGGGACTGTATGACAAACAATAATTGCTTTCTTTTGGCCTTTAGTTGATTTCTCTAGCTTTCCATTTTGAATTTTTATTTTAGAATGTAAGGTTTCTAATAAAATAATTCTCTAATGCAAGTTGGCAAACTTTTCCTGTAAAGGGCCAGCTAGTAGATATTTTAGTGTGTGAGCCACATATGGCTTCCGTTGCTGCTGCTACTTTTATTTTTTAACTACCCTTCACAAATGTGAAAACCATTTTTAGCTTGCAAGTTGTCCTCATAAAACATATCCTGGATTTGGCTGACTTGTTCATCTAGACTAGAGAGTAAGTTGTTCTCACCAAGGAGAAATGTAAGGGAAATCTGAGAGTGACAGATTTTGATAGTGCTTATCATAAAGACCTAACTAAAACTCCTAAGTGATACTTTTGGAGTTTTATGTATATAAACTTTTACCTCAGAAGGCATTTCATAAGTCTCGTCAGGCTCCCCAGGCACATCTTCCAGAATTCCTTCCTGTGGAGCTCCTTCTTCACTCTAATATTTAAATGGAAGCACAAAAAGAATAAAATGAGGTACATTCTCTGGTTTTTAAAGTCACAAACATTTTGAAAACATCCTATATACAATACTGGCAGGGATGTCACAAAAATGGCACTACTTAATATTACTGCTGGCATCTTCATCTATACAACGCTGTTGGAAACACATTGTGGCAACATGTATTACTTACCCTAAACATAAACAGCTTTCTTGCCTAAGTAATTCACTGTCCAGGAAATAGCCCAAAAATATTTTTCACAGAATCAGTGACAACAGTAAAACATTGTTAATCTAAATGTTCAATGGATGAAGAAGAGCTAAGAAAATTATTATTCAACTACTCAATAGATAACTATGAAGACATATATTAATGTGACATGAGAATTATATAACAAAATAAAAATGTACTTATGATAAAATGTTTGACAGTATATCAAGTATTATATACATTGTGAACACAATTGTGTAGAATTCAGATACATTGTGGACACAATTGTGTAGAATTCAGATGCAAAGGTAAAATCAATTGAAAGAAAAGAGTATTTTTAAAAAATAAGTTTTAAGTTATAACCACTATATAAAAGCATATATTTTTGTAATTTATTTTTAAATTATGGCAAATAATATTTTTCTGAAATTTCACAATTTAAACTAAATATATTTGGAGGGAAAAAATCAAATAAGTAGACAATTTTCCAGGTCTCTCCCTTAGAAATAGGATACTATAAAAAACCTGAAATGGTCATGGTTTTATCAGTGTTCTTCATTAAACACCATTATTTATTTATTTTTTTACTTTGCATTTATTCCAGCAAAAGTAGTTATGAAAAGATAAAGTTCATTGCAAATTACAAAGCAGAGAAGCAAGGTGAGCCTAAATGGACTTACTCAAAGAGTTCAAGCAGCCTCTCAACCAATGTAGCGTATGTTTGAAATATGCCTGATGTAAATAATATCTCCTCATGTCTTCCTGGTGGAAGTGACAGGAAGAAGAAGAAGATAATGGCTGTCACTGACCATCAGATAAGGTCAAACTAAAGCTAATCCCTACATTAGCTGGGCAGAGAAGTTTAAAGGTCACCTTCCTCTGTCCACCTTTGTTATTAAAAACCAAAAAGTGCTAGATTAGTACTTTGTGTAACAAAATTGCTTTTATTCAATTGCATGACTTTTATTATATATTTAATGTAACTCACAATGGAGATAAAATTGCTTCCCCAAACCACCTTTTTATCCAAAACCTACAATTATTTGTGGGCCTTGTTAAAGATGTATCCTAGGGTCCAGTGAATGTGTGATATGTTCCTTGGAAATCACTACCCAGTATTACCATATGTTTGTAAACTCTGTGGCGTCATTTGGTACAGAATATAGCAGTGTACTTGCTGTCAGTATGAATAGGTCAGAAACAAATTTTTAAAAGTCTCCCATTTTGAAGTCTGTAAAAGACTGCTGGCAACTGGTCAGGGTTTTCTAAGACACATTCCATGGTGATATTAATAACAACAGGGCTTCACTCACTACAGGGCATCTATGCCTTAAACAGTCACAGCAGTAGAAGCACTCTTCCCCACTGCTTTCTCACTGAGAGATATTTTGTGTGGAACCATTATTTTGCTGCATTGTGGGACAATGATAATCAACCCCTAATAACTCAACAGTTCACACAATGGGGATGGAGGAGAGAGGAAGTAACACTAAAATAAATTAAGAAACTACTCAAAGAACTCTAACTTAAGAGGGGAAAAAAGGCACCACTGATCACTCATCTTAAGGAATCCAGCATTTTTGACATGAAATCAAGCACAGAACTCCTATTCAAGTGAAAATAACACAGATTTTTAAAAAATGTGCAAAACCCCTTTTAAAATTGAGATTATATGATGGGTATTACACTAAGAACAGTACCATTTATTTTATTGAAAAACTAAAAAGTGAAGTAGGTGGGTATGAGAATCTTGTTTAAAAGTAAGCTTAAGATATATTCAAATTTGGGGAGTTGGGTGGGGTCAAAGGGCATCTGATTCAAAATCAGATTAATTTCAATTTTTCTTAAAACAGCTAAGTAATTTTATAAAGAAAATAAAAATTTTAGAAAACCTGGCACAAGTATTAAATCTTTAAAACCAAAACAATATAGGTAGTTTAGAAATACCACCATACTTTAAGTATTAATGTTATTATAGATAAAAATGCTAATGTAACAATCACATTTACTGTTAAAAGATTTAAGGAGTTTTCCAATGCATTCTAGTAATTAAATGCTATGACATGAGAAACCATGGAAATTGGCACATTCTGATATAACCAATACCCAAAGAATAATAATAATGCTAAGGAGGCATTCCATAAACCCCCATCTCTTTTCCCAGTTATGTATGGTTTAATTACAGTTTAATTTTTATTATTGAGTGAAATACAGTTATGGTTTAGATCTAGGGCAGAATTAAAGTGATGAATGGAATTGGTCCATTCACTGCTCTATTCCTTTAGGAATGCATCAAATATGGCAGAACCAGCATTAGTGTACAGGGGCCTTGTGGTTGGAGTCCATTGAAGGACATTGGACTAATCTGTTTCTTTGGAGGCAATTATGTAGACAAGGGGCAAAGAATTGGAACATCTACTTGTGTAGTGAGATAGATGTAAGTAGAAGGGCAAGGCATCAGTAGGAATTAAAGAGTGATAATAGTGGTACAGTCATAGAGACAAGTCTATAATTATGGTACTTTGAATGTTTTTGCACTGCTATTTAAATTTAGCAATATTTAGGATTCTATTAACTTTCAACAAGATAAAACATTTCAAGTTTTGGCAATGTAGTGCCTTGTTGTGTTTTAGAAGTCCTATTCATAATTTTCTACCAACATTTACTACTCCCTTGTATAATACATGCTCATGCCATGACTGGTTTGGCTCAGTGGATAGAGCATCGGCCTGTGGACTGAAGGGTCCCGGGTTCGATTCCAGTCAAGGGCATGTTGCAGGCACATCCCCAGTAGGGGGTGTGCAGGAGGCAGCTGATCGATGCTTCTCTCTCATCGATGTTTCTAACTCTCTTTCCCTCTCCCTTCCTCTCTGTAAAAAAATCAATAAAATATATTTAAAAAAAAAAAAGACATGCTCATGAGGGAAAACACACACTCTACACTAGACTACTGATTATCTCTGGGGCTATTCCTAAGACTATCTTGACTCTCCTAATTAAAATGAAATGTTAACTATAGCATATGATTTTCATCATAAATTGCATATGCCCCAATAAGCAAAACCTAGCAACAAGGCTGAATAAAGATATAGTTCCTGGTCATCTGCTAGGCTTTCTGATTGTTAAATCGACCTACTCCCCTCATTAGCTGTATAATATATCTGTTCAGATTATGTCTCAGCAAGTTTACAAATGACTATGTCATCAACAATCTGAATCACTTGAGAAGAGTCAAATTGAGCACCATTAAGTCATATAGTGACTATACACAGTTCATACATACAAGGAAACATTCTCAGTAAAAATGCAAATCTATTTTAATTCAGTGCTTTTAGAGAAACCAGTCTTACATAGCTATTCATGCTCTGCTTAGGATAATCTATTACCATATTAGTTACTTGTCTTTTATCTCTATTTCTTTGGTCTTGATAATTGATGGAGGGAGGGACGGAGGGAGGGAGGGAAGGAGAGAGAGAGAGAGAGAGAGAGAGAGAGAGAGAGAGAGAGAGAGAGAGAGAGAGAGAGAGAGAAAGAGAACTCCTGCTCAGTGGTTAGAGCACTGGCCCACATACCAAAGGGTGTTGGGTCTGATTCCTGGTCAAGGGCATGTACCTGGGTTGCAGCACCTGGGTTCCAGGTTTGACCCACAGCCCCAGTTGGGGTGTGTGCAGGAGGCAACCCATGATGTGTCTCTCTCACATCAATGTTTTTCTCTATCTCTCCTCCCCTCCTTCCCTCCTTGTTCTCTAAAAATATCAATGGAAAAAATAGCCTGGGGTGAGGATTAACAACAACAAAAAGTAAAAAAGAGAGAGATAGAAGGAAAGAGAGAGAAGAAGGGGGCAGAAAGAAAGATAAAATGAACACTGGTTTGTTTGACTGTTTTTGTAAAGTTTGAGAATGGAGGAGAGAGCAAAACTAATAGATTTATTCTATTTGGGGGTTATTTTTGTATGCTATTTTATCAGTATTATATATGAACCCAGTTTTAAATACATTCAACCATAAATTACAAAATAATTGGCCTATAAGTCAGGAGTCAGTGTGAAATCATTTTTTTTTTTAGAAGACATTTTCATTATAAACAAAACTAGCAGCTCAGTGGCTGCAACATTTGTGACAGTGCCATGCAATTAGATGACTCACCTAATGAGAGTTCACAGCATAGGAACATTGCCAGCTATTCCCCCCTTACTTGGATGCAGACCTAGTTGCAAATGCTAATTCACAATGGGAATTCTGGAAATAAACTATTTTTAGTTTCACGTCTAAAGATTAATGCCCCTCCGCCATCAATAAAAATACTATATCTGTTCACTATTATATATGCTTATTATTTTAAGTTTGTAAAGATAGGATTTTTAAAAAAATCTTTATTGTTGAAAGTTTTACATAAGTCCCCCCTCTCTCTCCCATTGACCTCTTCCATCCCACCCCAGCCCCCAGCCCCTTGTCTTCTTGGATATCAGCCCCTTGGATAGTGATTGACTAAGACATCAAAGTGAAAGTGGATCAACCTGAGAAAGATCTACTCTTGTAGAGTATGGAAGCAGACAGTCATTTCATTTTTGCAAATGAGTTGATATATGGAGGCAAGTCTTAAAACTAGAATCAGTGGGGAATGCAGGGAATGCTAAAAGGCTGCTGGAAGGAGGAAATCTGCTGTCAAGGTCTTACTAGTAGTGAGTCAGGGTCCAGGCATTTGCTTTCAAAAATAGTTGGGAAATTGGTCTTAATATCTAACTGGAGGAAAATACTTCAGGCAAAACAAAGTACTCAAAGGGTG